CCCTCCAGAGCGCCCCATCGGGAACTCAAGCGAGAACCCCGTTTTGAAACAGGCCTCCCTCAACCTTATCCCCCTGGCCCACCCCAGCCCCCAGAGGCCTCGGGCCCCGCCTCTCACGGCGCCTCCCCTTGGGTCCCTCCAGAGTGCCTCATCGGGAACTCTTGTTTTGAAACAGGAGCCGCCATCAACCTCACCTGCTTGTGAGATTGAGTTGTCTGATCAGTTTGACACATGTATGTGCTTCGTTTCCGTTCGTATGGACTTTGGCACTTTCCCACAGCATTATGTGTGTGCCTTAGCCATTGGGGCTCCAGTCGTATATTGCTTTTCGTATCTCTTTCCATATTTGCACGCGCGTCCGTATTGTTGGCAATGGCAGGGCAGTGGGGCGAACAGACTGGGGAGTATATCCCATCCAACGTGGAGGTGGCCGAGGGTATGAGGCGCTGGTCTGTGTCACCCGGCGGGGGCGGATTGGTATTCCAATGGCTCAAGGCTCAGGAGAGACAACAGTACCACGTAGCTAGGGGGGTGGCCGCTCACTCTTCGAGCTGGTGGTTCCTTCCGGGCATGCCTCCAGAGAGTGCCTGGAACGAGGTGCCACCAGCTCGAGGGGAAGGCGCGGCCACCCCCTTAGCTGGTGGTATTGGTATTTTTTTCTCTCCTGAAAGGTGCTGCGCGAGACCACGTGGTTCGCGACCACAGTGTATTTTCCGTGTATGTGGCAGGGACTCACGGGTGCATGCCTGTGTGTGTCGACCGCGGAGAGCACGCGCCGTTCAAAGGAGAACGGTGTGGTCGAGAACCAGCGGCGTATGGGGGGCATCGAGACCCCAGAGTGGATGGCGTTCGCTGTATACTTCTACCCTGGCTTGGTATTCGGCAACTTTGATGGTTTCAAAGATCCAGCCGCGCAGTATCTGGGCACACTTGCGGAAGTATTCAATCGGCTGTGCACCCAAGCTGGTATAGCGAACTGGAGTTCGCACGTATTCGTCCGACCCGGCGGCTGGGTGTATGCTGGCTTGCGCAGGCTGTTGCAGCTCCTGCGTATTCACGTGCATTCCGAGGTGGTATCAGGTCTGTCATACAGGCGCATGGCGAGCCTGGATGTATTTGTGGCAACACACACGGCATCCATGGGCATGGAGCCGCCATGTATGGCTCTGTGGAATGCCTCCCACGACGTCAAGGATGGTATCACCTTGTTCCCGAAGCAGGATCATTGGTGGCACATGCCTGTATGGCGTTCTTTCGGGCAGTCCGAGTATGGGAATGTCATGGATTACCGTGTGGATCTGGGTATGCCGGCGCATGTCCAGGGCGTCCTGGCGGTATTGGCGCCCCACGGACGCACGGGCGATGTGTCCGCGAGGAGGCGTATCGGCACCATGCTGGGACACTTGGCCCCTGATGTATGGGTGCCAGGAGCGCAGCTTGCAGTATTGCGCCCGATGCGTGCCATTAGGGACAGGCGCATGCCAGAAGACGATGAGCACACAGACTCGTCTCTTTAGTATGCTTCCAGAGCACGTATGCGTCCGCCTCGCCTTGTCCTGCTGCTCCTCCTCCTCCTCCTCCTCCTCCGGCGGGGCACCCATGGGGACAACCATCGGGACCACCATCGGAACAACCATCGCGGCAACCATGGGGACAACCATCGGGACAACGATCGGGACAACCACAACCATCAGGACAACCATCGGGACAACCATCGGGACATCCATCGGGACAACGATCGGGACCACCATCGGGGCAACCATCGGGAGAACCATCGGAACAACAATCGGGACAATCATCGGGACACTCATCGCGACAATTATCGGGACAACCACAACCATCAGGACCTCCAACCAGAGAGAGGTAGTCACGTGTATTTCGTCGACGAGTGAGCCAGTATTGCACATTGAGGCCGGAACGAGAACCACAGAACAAGAATGAGCATATATCGTCTCACAACAACGGAAACAAGTCCTGTGGTATGCTGGCGCCACGCACGTGATACCAGTCAAAATAAGGGTCTTGGCTTGTGTGGTACAGAAACGTTAAAACGTCGGAAAACGGTACACGTGCCCATTGTTGGAACAGGGGTATAAGTCGTATACTAAGCTAGTTTCCACAAGATGTTACCACAAGAAGTCATTGTAACCATGCGCCAGTGTAGTAGCCAAGGTCGTCCGCAGGCCACGAAGTGAAGTGTCCGAACGTCATAGGGCGGGAAGCTGGGTGTGGGTGGTGGCGAAGAGTCGTTTGGAAATTTGGTAGAGCTTGAACCGGCCCCCCCACAAAGTGGGGGTATTGCCCGCCTCCTATGAAAACCCTGGCACTGGTGAGAACGGAGTGTCCCCAGTCTTAAATGATTGTTGTTGTTGTTGTTGTTGTTGTTGTTGTTGTTGTTGTTGTTGTTGTTGTTGTTGTTGTTGTTGTTGTTGTTGTTGTTGTGTTTGTTTGTTTTTTCGGCGATATGCCCCTCATTTCTTTGTCTTTTTTTTTGTCCTTACGTTTTTTGGTTTTCCAGTGCCTTCATCAGGAATCTCTTTGCGAGCTCCCCGCACAGGATTCCTGGTGTTCCTTTTGACGGGAGGAGGGAGGGCGGAGGAGGAGGAGGGAGGGAAGGAGGAGGTGGGAGGAGGGGGAAGAGGAGGGGAGAAGAGTGAGAACAAGGAGAAGCGAAACCGAGTTGGAAAGAGAGCGGTTCCATTTCAAACCCTTTGAGGGCCGCAAGCGCCCAATACCCATCCAGTCTGGAGCTCTGCGGCCAGGGCTCTTAACTGCTCATCCGGGGAGCCAGGCCCGTCTGCCGCTCAGTCGGCTGCGCTGCCGCCGTCGCCGCCCCGCCGCCGCCCTGGTCGCCCCCCGTCGTCTGGACCTGCCTGCGGGATCGGGCGGCCGTGTTGCCGGCATCGCCGCCGCGTGGCCGCCCGTCGTCTGGGTCTGCCTGCCGTTAGGTCGGGCCTGCCCCCCTACAGGGGGGATTTTGGAGGAAACATGGACAATATTTAAACAATGCCCCAAAGATGCCCGGAAATACCAAAAATATAGTCCCCAGACTATGTTTTGACCGTTTCTGAATATCCCCCCCCGTAGAGGGACAGGCCCGACTTAAGCCTACCAGTCCAGAAGCTATGTTGCCGCCGTCGCCACCCCTCCGTCGCCTCGTTGCCGCCCCGCCGCCGCCCTCGTTTGCACAGCGCAGACTGCACCACCTGCTGTAGATTGCACTGCATGGATTGCACCACATTGCGCCACATAGATTGTTCACCACATGGAGTGCACCACGTTAATTGCACCACGTATCATTCACAACATTGATTGCACCACGCACGTTGCACCCGATTACACCACATAGATTGCGCACCACCACATAAATTTCACCACATCTATCGCACCACACATATTGCATAACTTAGAGTGCACTACGTTCATTGAACCACATAGATTTCACCACGTCGACTGCTCCACATAAAATGCTCACCACATAAATCTCACCATGTATCATTGCATCACATGAATTGCTTAGCATACATTGCGCAACGTATCTTGCACCACATAAAATGTACCACGTAGACTGCTCCACGCATATTGCACCACATATGTGTATATACATAATACATATGCGTACATATGCATACATATACGTATAGGTGTCACAACATATGGCAAAACATCGATAACACAGCATACATTGGACAACATATCTAATCGCCCTCGGTCCATCTTGCCACCGTGCCCGGGTAGAGGGTCAGAGTTTTCAGGGATGCTTCTTCGGGTCTCTTTGCAACGCTCTCGGGGCCTCTTGGGAGCCTCTTGGGAGCCTCTTTTGAGCCTCTTTGGGGGTCTCTTGGGGGCCTCCTTGGGCCTCTTGGGGGCCTCTTAAAGGGCCTCTTGGGGGCCTCTTGGGGGCCTCTTGGGGGCCGATGGGGTGGGCTTCTTGCGGGCCCCTCGGTGCCGAGGGCTTGAGAAGTCCGTTCGGGTTCTCCATCTGGGCCCTCTTTTGGGGCCATCTTTGAGCCCGCTTGGGCCGTCTTGGGGCCCTCTTGGGCCACCTTGGAACCCTTATGGTGGCATTTGGGGTCGTTTTGGGGCGATCTGGTGGGCTTCGTGGACCGTCTTGGAGCGTTGGGAAGCCCGATAAGGCGAGATCGCCAACAACGCAAAAAACGTAAACACCTATAATTTTTGCCTCTTGAGGCCCTTTAGGGACGCCTCTTGGAGGCCTCTTGAGGGGTCTTGGAGGCCTCTTGGGCCGTCTCGGGGCCATCTTCAGCGTCTTGGAGCGATCGGTCGGCGACTCGGGGACCTTTTGGACCAGTTTGGGGCCTCTTGGGGCCCTTTTGGCCCGTGTTTGGGACGTCTTGGCTCCGAATGTGTCGAGCGACAGGACGCGACAAGCCACGCCAAATTTTCCTTGAAAAACCGTCCAGGAGTGAGAATTGAGACTTAAGGGGTTAGGCAAAGGACCTGAGGACACGCCCACTCAGTGCCCAGCGGCACGGTGGCGGATATTGCACCACATGCTAGAAACACACTGTTTGCGGTCCATGCTGGCTGATGTTCAATCATTATACCTCGGATCCTTGTCAGAGGTGGCGAAGCGTGAATGTACATACACCAAGTGAATGGAAGCACTCAATTGGTCCCTTCTCCTCCCTGCTCCCCCCTCCTTCCCTATCCCACTCCCCCCATTTTTCCCTTCTCACCTCGCCCCTGTTCCCCCCCACACTCCTCCCCCCCGGTTCCTCCTCCTCCTCCTCCTCCTCCTCCTCCTCCTCCCTATCCTCCTGCTCCTGCTCCTCCTTCTCCTCCTCCTCCTCCTCCTCCTCCTCTCCCTCCCCACGTCTCCGCCCGCCCCGTCCCACTCCCCTCCCCGCGCTCTTCGCCCCTCCCCCCCAACCTGCGCCCCCTCCTCCTCGTCCTCCTCCTCCTCCTCCTCCTTCTCCTCCTCCTCCCCCTCCTCCTCCTCCTCCTCCTTCTCCTCCTCCTCGGCCACCTCCTCTCGCCAAGGGGCCTCCAGTGCCGCCTCCGGCAGACGGGCGCCCTGCTGCCATGCGCCCGGGCGGCCCATGCGGTGGGCTCCCCCCACGCCGCCCCTCGCCGCCGTGTCCTTAGTCGGTGACTGCTGCTGCTGCTGCTGCTGCTGGAGGGAGGAGGAGGGGGAGAAGGAGGAGGAGGAGGAGGAAGAGGAGGAGAAGGAGGAGAAGGAGGAGGAGAATGAAGAGTGTAAACCCAAGAGTCACCAACAATGTTGGAGTTAACCCTCCCTCCAAGCTCCCTCTTCATAGGTCCCCACAACGGTTCATTTCCATTGAGGGAACTGCCCCGTCGGAAGACAACCATTTAAAGATCTTGAAGCATGCTCAAACATTGTTCTCGAGATTTCCACGCCACGGATCAACCTGACTGCTGCGTCCTGACGATCTGAAATCGTGCCAGAAAGTTTTTTTTTTCTGGACTGCATCACCGCGAATCAACACAACTGTTGCACCTGCATAATCCAGAATCTTTCCAACACGCCATGTCTGGTACGTTGCTCATGGCAATCCGTGGATGCAAACATTTGCGACGAATGTACGCGGCGCTAAGGCGAGAACCACATTTTGAAAACGACCCGCCCTCAAACCGTGAAGCTCTCGCAAACTTTTCAAACGAATGTGCGCGGCGCCAAGGTGAGAGACGCATTGAAAACCACCCGCCCTTCATCCGTGAAGCTCTCGCATTTTTTTGCCACGAATGTGCGCGGAGCCAAGGTGAGAGCCACATTGTGAAAACGGCCCGCCATGATTCCGTGAAGCTCTTGTGTATTTTTTAAACGAAATCGCACGGTGCTACGGCGAGAGCCACATTTTGCGAACGACCCGGTCTCAATACATAAAACTGTTGTATTTGTTAAACTAATGTGCGCGGGGCAAGGCAAGAGCCACATTTTGAAAACCACTCGCCCTGAATCTTTGAAGCTCTTGCAATTGTTTCAAACGAATGTGCGCGGCGCTAAGGCGAGAGCCACATTTTTGTGAAAACCACCCGCCCTCCATGTGAGAAGCTGTTGCCATTTTTAATCTTCAGAGTCATACGTTGTGAGGAAGTCTCAGGCGGAACGCCCGCCCCGCCCTAAAATAAAAGCTGGTCTCGGGGTGCGACAGGGAACAGTTGTTTATAAGGAAAAGGAATGGAGGAGGAGGAGGAGGAGGAGGAGGAGGAGGAGGAGGAGGAGGAGAGGAGGAGGAGGAGGAGGAGGAGAGGAGGAGGGGCAGGAGGACAAGGAGGAAGAGGAGGAGGAGGAGGGGAGGAGGAGGAGGAGAGGAGGAGGAGGAGGAGAGGAGGAGGAGGAGGAGGAGGAGGAGGAGAAGGATGGGCGAGTCACTGGCGGGACGGTGCCGTCCGCGCCTGCGGGCCGCCTCAGAGGAGGCCCATGAATTGGCCGAAGGAGTCGGCCCAGTGCACGCAGCTCAGGACAACCGCGTACACTCCCCCCGCGGCCAGCCGCCCCCGCCCCGGTCCCCCGGGCCATCAGCGCGAAGAAATCGCGCATGCGGTCCTCGTTGCCGCCGCAGCGGCGGCGGAGGAACTCGGAGGCGGCCTCCATGAAGCTGGCGGCCACGAGCTCCTCGAGCAGGCGGCCGACTCCGCCAGGAACAGCAGCAGGCGCCGCAGGGCCGAGGGGCTGGGACGCCTCGGCGCTCCCCGCCTCGCCGCCGAGCGAAGCTCCAGGCGACTCAGGACAGGTGAGCGCCTCAGCGTCGGCGCCAGGCAGCGCAGCAGGCGTCGCGGACGAGGGCGCAGGGCGCGACACCACCGTGTCCGCCCAGGCGTCGTCCTTTAGGTCGCTGCCGCCGTCCGCCCCCAGACCACCGCCGCCAGCTGCACCAGCAGCGTTGTCGAGCACCATGGGCCCGTCCTGCGCTCCGCGAGCTCGGCGGCGCCGAGCGCGACGTCGCCTCCGCCGTGGCCCCTGGCCACCAGGCGGGGCGTCCGCCGCTGGAGCGCGAGGTGACACGCCTGGGCCTCCGTCGCCGTCATCACCATCACGGCATGCAGCCGCGGCACGGCCGGCTCGAAGCTCGACCTCGAGCATCGCCGCCGCTGCACGCACGATGCCCCCCCACGGAGCGCAGCAGGCGAGCCGCCGCCGCACCCCGCGCCAGGCCAGCAGCGCCTTGCACCGCCAGCGCGGCCCCGCGGGCCGCAGCCAGCGCTGCGCGACGATCCGTCGCCGCCGCCATCGGAGGTCCGCGGCGGGCCAGGGGCCCAGCGGCGGCGAGCTCGACGCGAACACGGCTTGAGTCTAAAATGGCTACGGAGGAGGAGGAGGAGGAGGAGGAGGAGGAGGAGGAGGAAAGGAGGAGGAGGAGGAGGGAGGGAGGAGAGGAGGAGGAGGAGGAGGAGGAGGAGGAGGAGGACATGCGTGCGCCCGCGGCGCGGCCCGCGGAGGCAAACGCAGCAGGAAGAAGAGAAGGAGGAGGAGGAGGAGGGAGGAGGAGGAGAGGAGGAGGAGGAGGAGGAGGAGGAGGAGGAGGAGGAGGAGGAGGAGGAGGAGGAGGAGGAGGAGGAGGAGGGAGGAGGAGGAGGATGGAGGAGGAGGGAGGAGGAGGAGGGAGGAGGAGGAGGAGGAGGAGGGAGGGAGGAGGAGGAGGAGGAGGAGGAGTAGGAGGAGGAGGAGGAGGAGGAGCAGAAAAAGGAGGAGGAAGAGGAGGAGGAGGAGGAAAAGGAGGAGGAGGAGGAGGGGGAGGCGGAGGAGGAGGAGGAGGCGGAGGACGAGGAGGAGGAGGATGCGGAGGAGGAGGAGGAGAAGGAGGAGGAGGAGGAGGAGGAGGAGGAGGAGGAGGAGGAGGAGGTGGATCGAATCGTCTGGGGGGCGCGGTTCGAACCTCAGCGCCGTTTGGAGCTCCGCGTTGGAGCCACAAGGATATGAGTTTTCAAACATTCTTTCTCGGGCTCGATTTTATAGGGGTGTATTTATGGGGTGGCCGCTTCCTCTCCTCCTCTCTTGATCGTCACGTTTAGTCTCCGTTTACGATCTTGGCTGTAGCTTTTTGGGCTCGAAGGTTTCGAGGCTCGTGGCCAGCGCCCGCGCCTCGCCCCGAGGGCCCGTGAGCGCCCATCGCCGCCATCGGCGTTGGGGCGCGGCTGCGCCCAGCTGGCGCACGTGCGCGGCCTTCGGCCGCGGGGCGGTGCCCCTGGCGCCAGGACGGCGTTGCGGCGGGGCACCACGTTCTTCTGGGTGGTGTGTCTGCTCCTGGGCCTCCAGGACCGACTGGTGCTCGAGGAGGGCGCTGACGTCGAGGAGGTCGCGGAGCTCAAGGTCGAGCACGAACGGGTGGAGAGCTTCCCTTGGCATCCAGATCGAGGGAGCTCGCAGTGGTACACGATGGCCTTCAAGAAGTGGAACCGGATCTACTGGCGGACGGCCAAGGACGGGCCGACAGGCGTGGTGATGCTGCTTCTGGAGCGGGCTCCCGGCAAGGCTGGCGAGTGGACGGCTCTGGACCCTGTGGGGCGGGTGCAGTTGATCAATCCGAAGGATAAGATCCACGCGTCGACTCGAGCGAAGACGGGAGTGGTCTACACAGATCACAAAGGGTTGAGCGCTCATGACAAGCAAGAAGCCGAACAAGCTAGCGCTCGACTCATCGACAGGATGAATGGCGTCACGAAGGAGGGCCCGAAGAAGGTCGGTGTCAAGAAGGGTGGTCGCAAGCGGCTCTCGCTCCTCCCGAAGTTCAGTGCGATGGAAGCTGTGACGACGGCGGGGCTGTGGGCCTGGGCTCGGCGGAGCTGGGGGCCCTTGGCCGCGACGGGCGTCATCTGCTGGCGTGTGTGGCACTACCTTGGATTGTATGAGTGGGCGCGAGCCGCCTATCATGCGTACCAAGAGGGACGAGAGTGGCTCGACTACCTCGGGGACATCAAGGACAGCGTGGGCGAGATGCGGGAGAGCGGCGAGCTGGACTTCTACTTGATCACCTTGGGGATCGGCGCTCTGGTCATCTGGGCCATCTACTACAACACGGGTGCCTCGGACACGGGCTCGGACTATGACGGTTCGGACAGCGAGGACGGGGACATGAGGGCAAAGGGCACATCCGCTTCGGATACCGACTCAGGTGAGGAGCCCTCGTCCACGGACCTGCTGCGCACCATCTTGACGGGACAGGAGCAGCTGGCGCAGCTGGCCGACCAGATTCGCGAGCTCAAGGCGACTGCTCCTGCGGTGCGCTTCGAGGCTGAGGACCGTCCCGGGACGCCCCGCTCATCGCGGTCGACACGCTCGGACACAGCGGACGCACGGCGGGACGACGAGTTCGTGGAACCATCGAAGGGGCAGATCGATGCGCTGTTGCGAAAGCTCAGGGAGCACGAGACGATAGTCGAGATGGACAGCTCGCGGGCGACGAGGGGAAGCGGATCTTCGGCCCCGTCACCTTCACCTTCCTCGGGGGGCGGCTTCGAGCTTGTCGGGGACCGGTCCTCGAGCGGTGCTTCGGACGGCTCGGCACGCACTCCGCTGAAGATTCGCATCGACGAGCTGGAGATGGAGTCCCGCAACCCCCGCGAGACGATGATCCAGGCGCTGAAGGGCTTCGACGACAAGGCGGACCTCGGGCGCGTGGGGGAGATCCGCACGCGTGTGGCGCCGGAGGTCCTCACTCGCCTCTACCGAGGCGGGAGGACGGCGCAGGCTGAGCTGCGCGAGTGGCTGCGCAGCAAGGAGCTCGAGAGTTGCAACGCCGCCGCGGAGGTCACTGTCATGGGCATGGTGCTGGACCGAATGCTGGAGACGGACCCCCCGAGCACGGTGATCAACTCGAGGGCGGCGGAGCTGGTGTGCCTCCGCATCTACAGCTTGATGAAGGCGTTCGACAAGGTCCAGCGGCGCGAGGACTGGTTGCGCCCGAAGAACCAGACGGGGGCCAAGTGGCGGAGCAAGGTGGATTGGGTATTGGCCGAGCAGTACTTCCGCCTTGATCGTTCCGAGAACGATATCGATGCGGCTGACGACGAGGTGACCGAGAAGCTCAAGAGGAAGGCGCTCTTCCAGAAGCACTTAGGGTCAGTCTCGGAGTCGGCCGC